GTAACTTACTGTGATGTACTGCTCTCACTGCTCTAGTGTTAACCTGTTCCATCACCCTAAATCATGCCTAATTTACATATTAAACTTTATCACAGGAATGTACATACAGAAAAAACCCCATAATGTAGAAGCTTCTTGACTTACAACAGAATTGTGTCTAGAGCAGTGGTTCTCAGCCTTCCTGATATTGCCACCCTTTAATACAGTTCATCATGCTGTGGTGACCCCCCAAATGTAAAATTATTTTCACTGTACTTCATAACTGTAATTTTGCTACTGTTATGAATTGTAATGTAAATATCTATGTTTTCCGATGGTCCTAAGTGACCCACAGGTTGAGAACTGCTATTCTAGCTAAACCCATAGTATATTGAAAATGGAAGTTAAAATGCATTTAACACGCTTCATCCACCAAACATCATAGCTCACAATGCAATGCACTGTGTGGGTTGTTTCATCCAGTGATGGGAGGGTGAAAGCAGCTGGGCTCGCTGCCATGGCAACACAAAAGGAAACTACCCTACTGTCTATCATGTCCCCAGGGAGAGACCCATCTAAAATCCACACACCATTGTACAGCTGATGAGTCATGGCTGGAGCCAGTCAGGAGGAAACCAGTGAGCTTTTGAGTAGTTCATGCAGGGTTTCAAGCATCCCCAAGGGTCCTAGACACACACCAAAAACAAGAACGCATCGCTTTGTTCCTGACTCTGGGTTGACTGATTTCAGTCTCTTTAGGGTGCACTTCCTTTCCCTGGGCCACATTTGCAGAAAGCCCCAAAACTACCAAGTTCACCCTCCTGTCTCTAGGCCAATGGTCCAGAAGCCATCCAAGTTGAACTAAAACCCCAAGTCCATTTATTCTCCCCGGTGCAATCCCGGTGCCTTCTCCTGGAGGCTATTACATTTTTAAACAGCCATTGTGAAATTTATCTTACTCGGTACTGCTCTAGTGAGGTGCTCGGTAGCTTTATTACTATTTTTCTTCCCTTTATGCAAAGCTATAAATGTGTGTTAATCTTTCCCGAGAAGATGCAGGACAACACTCTTGTCACCGGCCACTGCTGAAGCTGAAGGCTCCAGTGAGAACCTGTGTGTACACACGGCAGGTCACGTGCGTTAGGCAAATGCCCACCAATCCACTAGAGCCTTGGGCTGGCAGCTGGCATCCCAGAGAGCTGGGACCCCTCTGGGGACAGTCCCAGCACAGGCCCAGGCACCAGGAGGCATCAGCCGCTACAGCAGTCAATGAGAGGAGGTGTTTGGGGAGCTGCATGTGAACACAGGAGACTCGTCAGCGGGTGACAAGAGCTAAGACCGACTGCAGTGTCCATCCAGAAGAAAATCTGTGAAAGCAGAGGTGACAAGGGAGGGCTTTGGGAAGAACTATAACCCAGACTATAAAGGAGACACTGCCCGTGACTCTCTGGTCGGAGCAAAGCACAGCGTCTCAGGTAGGCTGGGGCTGCGGGGCTGACAAGAGGAGCGTTCAGTGGGGGAGGGGGAGACAGTCCAACAAAACAAATAAGCGGAAGATGAGCAAAATTCAGACGCACACGTGACAACGTGAGCCAGTGACACAGTTGGGATGGAAGTCAAGTTGTTTCTGACGCAGCGTCACTGAGCTGGGTACCATCACCTGCTCCTCCTGTCCGTCCTCCAAGGCCTCAGAGACAGTCCCTCCCCCAGATCACAGGCTGGGTGGCCCTACCTCTTGCCATTTCCAGCCTTGAGCCACACATACTCCAACCAGTAAGGAACCCTGAGTCACGTTAGCCAGTGACTTGTCCTCTCTTCCTTGTATAAGTTCAATGGAAATGAAATGCCCGGCCGTTGGCCAACCTGGGCAGATAGTAGCTGTGTTAAGTGGTTCAATGTAACATATAAAGGAACCTGAGACAAAAGGGTGCTTCTGTGGGAGCTCTCCGGAGGCCTGGGGCGGTAGAGGGTGGAGATGCAGGAGATGAGAGCTGACAGGTGAGGCTGTAGGCAGTGCAGGTGTGCTGGGCAGGGCGGCCACATCTGCCTACTTCAAAGATCCACCTGCCGACTAACTTACAGGAGGGATCAGCTCGGCACATGAAACATGGGGTGGTCTTCTGCATCATGCTCAAGGCCTTTCAAGTCTGGGTCTGCTCTGCTCCAGAGCGAGATGTTTCATGGCAGCCTGTTTATGTTTTAGACTTGATCACTCCGGAGGGGGTGGGACTGACTGCCCTCCTACCCTGAGAATGCCAGCAATGTCGGGAGGTCCTAGCAGCTCTGGAAAACAGCCACGGTGTGAGGCCGCAGCCCACATTTTGAAGGCATCTCTTAATCATTTATATTCCCTACTTATCTCTGCTAAGGAATCAGATATGACTCCATAGCAGGAATGTAAAACAACCTTTCACTATTCCTAAACAAAAATGCTTTGTGAGGTTGGCACGCACCTTTTCCATGGATGTGTTTGTCACTGTCCTTGGGACAGAATGTGCACAGCCTCCCCTCCACACTTCTGAGGCCGAGAACCTCAGCTGTGGAGGCTGTGCTTGCAGTCAGACCTGTCCTCTTCTCGTGGAAACCCTCACACTTAAAACAATGTCAGAAAACATTCTAACCTGCCATACTCCTTGCCAGTCTATTTCTGAACGTGACGAGTTTAGGGTTTCATGGGTTCAAAGCAAATCCAGAGGACAAGGAGGACTTTGATGAAGAGCATGTGGGTGTTGAGAACAGACATTTAAGCTCTGAAGTTTTGTTTCTAGATTTGACAGCTCCAGGGGGTCTTCTCTGTCAAGTAAAGGAGGGCCCCACATCACAGAAAAGGGGGGATTAAGTAAGATCTGTGCTAAAGCAGAGAGAAACCTCGCTGTTGTCAGCACTGGCCAGACCTCATGGTGCTCACAGAGCCAAGTCCAGCTGACTGAGTGCCCACGGGCCTCCTCATGAACTAATTACCACTGGTGGAATCAACCAATAAGGTCACATACTGCTAAGTGCGTCCCCCTCCCCCTGCTGGTAAGTGCAGAGCAAGGTTAAGTCCAGGCCCATGGACACAGTGCCTGCCATACACAGTGTCCTTCCTTATTACTGTAGCAACTTAACCAACTCACGTGCGCCTACTTCACACGCCCTATATTCCTTCTGCCATTTGTAATTTATGACATAAACCCACTGGCGACTGTTCCTTCTTCCCCGGCTGAACCTTTAGAGTTGTTTTTGGCTGTCCATTTATTTGGGTGTGTTTGAGTGATAAAACAAGATCTCATTTTGTGACACAGGCTGGAGTGTAAGTTCATGCCAATCTTCCTACCTCAGCCTCCTGAGTCCTGGGATTACTGGCAGCCACACCTTTACTTCCTGGATACAATCAAACCTATACAATTATTTGCCCCAAAACTGCATTTTTGATCCTGAAGCCACAGGGCAGTAAACACCAAACATCAGCTATCCTAACCTGACCAGTGAGCGGCCAGCCTCAGTCCCAACCTGACCAGTGAGCGGCCAGCCTCAGTCCCGACCTGACCAATGGGCTGCCAGCCTCAGTCCCCACCTGACCAATGAGCTGCCAGTCTCAGTCCCGACCCGACCAGTGAGCGGCCAGCCTCAGTCCTGACCTGACCAATGGGCTGCCAGCCTCAGTCCCGACCCGACCAATGGGCTGCCAGCCTCAGTCCTGACCCAACCAATGAGCTGCCAGCCTCAGTCCCGACCCGACCAGTGAGCGGCCAGCCTCAGTCCCGACCCGACCAATGAGCTGCCAGCCTCAGTCCCGACCCGACCAATGGGCTGCCAGCCTCAGTCCCGACCCGACCAATGGGCTGCCAGCCTCAGTCCCGACCCGACCAATGAGCTGCCAGCCTCAGTCCCGACCCGACCAGTGAGCGGCCAGCCTAACATAGGCCGGGGTCTGTTCATCTGGTTCTGGAGGCACAAACAGGCCTTGATTTCATGGGCCTTCCTGAGGCTTTTTGCTTTTTTTGAGGTTTATAGAATTTCACCAATGCACCTCCAGCTATCTAAGGGGGAGTCACCTGTCTCCATGTTTGGGTTCTCCTTCCATTTGGTTGAAACCATTGAGCTATTCAAAGCTCAAGGTTTGCATTGGTCTCACCTAGAAATCTAGTGGCCTTGTGTAATCCTGCTTGTTTTCATCCCTGCTCTTCATGGTTGGGGGAGGGGTGCTGTACCTGCACCTCTCTAACTCTGTGGTGTCCTGCACAACTCAGCAATCTCTCCTGGGAGGGACTGGGTGCTCAAGAGACTTGTCCTTCCTTACAGGAATTCATTGCATTTTCATCACACTTTCATTAAGAAAGTAACTAAATTTGATTCTGCCTTATTTAGTTTGTCTATGTATGTACGTGTGTGTATGTATGTATGTATGTATGTATGTATGTATGCATCTATCTACCTACCTACCTACCTACCTTTCTATCTATCTATCTATCTATCTATCTATCTATGTATCCATCTATCCTTTTTCAGACAGGGTCTCACTGTGTACTTCTGGCTGACCTCACACACACTGTGATACATCTCCTTCTCAGGAGTTCATTTAACATGTGTGTGCCATCTAGCCTGGACATTAAATATTATCTTAATGAATGAAATGCCACCTGGTTTTAAAAGTCAAGTATAAAATTAGTATTTTTAAAGAATAAATGGCCTTCTGGAAGCTCCTTTGGTTTTAGGGTTTTGTTGTTATTGTTGTTGGGGTTTTTTGAGACAAGGTTTCTCTGTAGTTTGGTGCCTGTCCTGGATCTCACTCTGTAGACCAGGCTGGCCTGGAACTCACAGAGATCCACCTCGGTCTGCCTCCCGCACCACCACCGCCTGGCCACTGGTTTTAGTTTTAAAGGGAATTAAAGTGACAGGAACTCAGGCATTCTTGAAATTCAGATAAAATCACTTTAGTCTCAGCATTTCTGAAAAAGCACACAGTTGAGCCCTCACACAGGCGAGCCCTGGCACAGGCATCCTCACACAGGCGCACCAACGCACAGACAAGCCCTTACCAGTGGGATAAGCAGGCTAATGAGGTCTGTGAGCGGTTTGCTGAGCAGCAGCAGGTTCTCTGCAGCCTGTGTGTCCCCTCTCGAGCCTGACTTCTGGGCCTGGAACGAAAGGAAAAGAAATGCAAGTGGTCTGGAGATCAGTCAGCCTGGCAGCAAGAGGCAGGTACCCGTGGACGGCCGATAAGAGGGGCTGAGGAGTGCTGCTATCTCTCCAAGTGCTGGAAGGATTTCATGACAAGGTGACAAGAGGGCAGACCCTTCCTGCAACATCTGTCCCATCTGGATGGTGGCCAGGTTAGAGAGCTTGTTATGTAAAGACACAAGGGGCCTAAGTTTAGATCCCAGCACCCACATGAAAAGCCAGACGTGGCTGTGGGGGAGGAGGCAGGAGGCTCCCTGAGGCTTGCTGGCCTCCATCTTGGCTTCAGGTTTACTCAAAGGAAGGAAGCAGACAGTAAAGGAGCAGGACACCTGGCCTTCACCTCTGGCCTGTGAGTGCACCTGAATGCATGCATGCCCCATACCAGACACATATACATGGTACTTGTAAATGCGCGCGCGCGCGCACGCACACACACACACACACACACACACACGCACGCACGCACGCACGCACGCACATCCCAAAACATTGGGGGTGGGAGCAAAGGAGACTTTAATCTGCTTTTCTAAAGTCATATAATAAATAACAAGGCCAAAGGTCAAACCAAGACCATCCAATGCCAAGTTGCACTACTCATCTCTGGGTGTTTCTATGCACACCTATGACACGTGTGTCTACCCAACCTACATGAACAGGCTTCCAGGATGGCTCTCCACTCCTTGGGACACTGTCTTAGTTAATTTCCTGTTGCTGGGATAAAAATACCCTGACAGAAGCACCTTAAGGGGAAAGGTTTTATTCTGGCTCAGTGTTCAAGGGTCCCATCTCCGGAGGCAGGGAAGCTGAGATGCCAGGGATGTGAAGCAGCTGCAACATTGTATCCACAATCAGGAAGCAGAGAGTCATGAATGCATGTGTGCTCAGCTAGCTTCCTTCACTTCCACAGTCTAGGATTCCTGCCCAGGGAATGGTCCTGCCCACAGTCAAGTTTTCTCTGATCCTGCCCAGCCCCACAGACTCCGTAGTCGTTTATAAAATAATCACTCAGAAGCTTATATTAATTAGAGCTCCTCGGCCATTAGCTCAGGCCTACCACTGAGCTCTTACTCAGCCCATTTCTGTTAATCTATATGTCACCACATGTTCCGTGGCTTTACCTGTGTGCCATTACATGCTGTTCCCTGGATGGCAGGCTGGCGTCTGCTCTGACTCAGCCTTCCTGTTCCCAGAATTCTCCTTGTCTGTTTACCCCACCTATACTTCCGGCCTGGCTACTGGCCAATCAGCTTTTTATTTATCAACCAATCAGAGCAACACATATTCACAGCATACAGAACATCCACATCACAGCATTCCCACATCAGTTAACACAGCTAATTCCTCCCAGCTATGCCGAGAGGCTTGTTTTCCAGGTGAGTCCAGATCCCAGGAAGCTGACACCACCAACCATTACACATAGGCTTGAACTACACTGGAATAAGAGATGAGTCCTTCTGATCTGAGATCCATCTTCTCCCGTGGGCCTCCACAGAACTAATAGCAAGCATCTTACCACAGAGATGGATCACTTCACATTCAGAACAGATTCTTCTGGCACCTTAGCTTTAGGATGTGCACATTTTTCTCAGGCTGCTTTTAGAACATGACCTTAGCCTGATCTTGCAGTGCAGGCCTCTCTGCCCCAGATCATGAACCTCGGTTCCAAGGTCCTTCCCCAGAAAGCCAAGATTCCCCCACACTTCAGGCCTGCAAATAGAATTTCACCTGCCTGATTGCTTGATTGCTATTACTGGTGCAGAAGGTCTTTGCTGAGGACCCAACACCCTCCCAACAGCTTGCACCTTTCCTGGCTGAGGGGAGGAACCAGCAACTGTTGGCTTGCTCTTCTCTGCCCCTCCCTGCCTACCTTTCTCAGAAAGGCAGTTTTCTCCTGGAGACCTGGACTTCTCAGCATCATGGCTGTTGATCCCTCACCCTCCGAGGCACAGGCTGGAGCAGAGTACAGCCTTTGCCCATTAAACATTAACACATCATCCTGGAGCTGACACTGATGTCTACTGGTAAGGATAAGACAGGCTCACAAATGAGGATGTGGCTGCAGCAGGGCTGTGGGGCCAGCACTCCATTTCTAAGCTTTCTAAGCTGGTGGATGAGGCCACAGAACAAGCCCATATTTGGACACTTGCCCACAAGACACCCAGTGGTCCTTCAGACCCTCCAGTGCCTTAAGGATCATCAGTAATGCCTAGACCCTGTCTGCAGCAGTCATGTGACTCTCTACAGTGGACAGGGATTCCAGAAAGAGACCTCAACTTCGCATAACTTGGCAGTTTTGTAAGAAGAACACATTAAAAACTTAGCGACACCCTTCACAAAGGACTCACGCAGTCTGTGATGGAATCCCTGTACAGTGAGAGGCCTTTGAATGGATAAGGCAGCCCCCAAAGAGGCCCAGACAAGGTACAGAGGTCCAGGCCTGCCTCACTTCACATCTCAGCATCTCACTCTTTAGGCAGGCCCCCTGACTCCCAGCTCTCGGGCCCCCTGGGCACTCTGGGGCTCCTGTCCCTCCATGACACAACCACTAACCTCGCCATCCAGGTCCTCCACCTCTACCTCCGACCCCACTGACTCTTTTCTAAAGACACTGTCCCTTGCCACTCAGTGTCTTTGACCTGCCCAGGTGTTGTAGTCAAGGCCAGAGAAGACAGAAGCCTGACTGAGGTTTGCAGAGAAGCAAGTACATTTGTTAGACACCTGAGGTAGAGTTCTGCATTACTCAATGGCAGGCTGGGTGTGGACAACGAAAAAGAGGAAAGTTAAGAGTGACTCCTGGGTCCCTGGTTTGTGCAGCAGAAAAGGTTGCTGAGGGGGGGGGTAGGGAGTGGCATGGGTTGCTGCAGGGGGGGGCATGGGTTGCTGCAGGGGGGCATGGGTTGCTGCAGGGGGGCATGGGTTGCTGCAGGGGGGCATGGGTTGCTGCAGGGGGGAATGGGTTGCTGCAGGGGGAGGCCTGCGTGGCTTGCAGTGGGGGAATGGTCTTGGGGTACATATGGTAAGCTCAACATTAGGCCCCAAGGCATCTGACCGTCACACCAAGCAAACTGCTAGATATATATGAGCACGGATCTCAGAGAACTCTTGGAGAAATACATACATGATATTTTCTCAACATGGCTCAACTTATGGGCCATATTTAACTGTAAATGGCCATGTGACATGATCTCAGTATAAAACATCCTAGCACTAACTACAATCCTGTCACTCCAGCGTCACCACTTGAATCTAGTGATGGCATCAGGCACTACACACAGGTCTGCTGATGAGCAGAGGCCAGACAATCTGTGCAGACGGAGGGATATGATGATTCCATCAGTTCTGATGAGGTCTACCCAGGACCCATTACTTGACTGAGTGTGTGAGGCCCCAGATTGTAGCTAGAGTTTTCCTGCCTGGCCCAAAGTCAGGACAAATCTCTCTCACCCGCCAGTCCCACAGTCTCTCAGACCCGACCAAGTAAACACAGAGACTTATATTGCTTACAAACTGTATGGCCGTGGCAGGCTTCTTGCTAACTGTTCTTACAGCTTAAATTAATCCATTTCTATAAATCTATACCTTACCACATGGCTCGTGGCTTACCGGCATCTTCACATGCTGTTTCTCATCATGGCGGCTGGCAGTATCTCTCTGACTCAGCCTTCCACTTCCCAGCTTTATTCTCCTCCTTGTCCCGCCTATACTTCCTGCCTAGCCAATGGCCAATCAGTGTTTTATTTATTGACCAATTAGCAACACACTTGACATACAGACCATCCCACAGCACTTCCCCCTCTTTTTTTTTTCAAAAAGGAAGGTTTTAACCTTAACAAAGAAAATTTCATATAATTTGGGAAATTGGGCGTAGCTTCTCTTACTACTTCCTGCTGGAGGGTGGCGCTGTATCTTATGGGGACACAAAGAAAATTTTAGGATCATGGAATAGTCCGTGAGGGTGTATCGTCTGAGCCAGTTGCCTTCAAACCATTCTGGATGTTGGATCATCTGGGCTATGGTGTCATCGGAGACCTTTCAGGGGGTCTTGGCTGGTCAAACCTGATGTATCTTAATATGGAACAAATCCATAGCCTCTGGCTTTCTGTGGGAACAAAAGCAGAGTCTCCTTTCCAAAGCAACATATCCTTATATCCAAATTTTGAAGTCAAGGCATCTTTAAAATATCCATATTGGCATAACTCAACAGCTTTTACAATCAAATGTTTTTCTGCAGTTAAAAATTCCAAAGACAACACAATCCAGATTGTCTGTGTAATATTCATCTTCATGTGGCTTATTTTTTATATTAATTTTACTGTCTCTTTAAAGACTTTATTTTTTAAAACTATGTATTTGTTTATATAACTGTATATATCACCTTTTTTGTCTCTTTCAAGCCTACGTATATTTTACACACATTTAAACTATTACATCTGAATCTGTCTTATTGTGAATCTATTGCTTTAAACTGCAGCAGCTGTGGCTGCTGGCTCCACCCACCTCAGCTTCCCAACATGGCGGTAGTAAGTTTTCCGCCAGCTCTGGGAGCTATCGTGGGTCTATGCTTTTATCCAAGCAGCGTGTAGCCCAGAAACCTTTTTTTTTTTTTTTTTTTAATACTAGCAAAGGCTATATCCACCACACAGCTTAATGTGCCACTTGCAGAGGCCTAATTCCCGCCATACGGCAGGTTGAGCACGCATGCTAGGAACCCACCAGTAGTTCAAACCGGCAGCTGCCGCTCATTTGAGAGAGACAATTAGGAACTGTTTTTAGCTCCGTTTTAGAATCTTTTTTCTCAGTTTTTAGGTGGAAACTCTTGCCAACACGTTGGGCGCCATTTGTAGATGTAACCAACCGTCTTATTAAATAAGAAACACAGAGCCGATTCAGAGAAGAAAGCCAAGAGGTCAGAACTAAGAGCCTCACCCTTCCTGCTTCAGCCAAGAGAGCTCTCCGAAAAGGGAGCTACTTCCTGTGTGTTTGTCTTTATAGTCTTTCTGTTCTGCCTTCTCATTGGTTGTAAACCCAAACACATGACTGCCTCCTCACTGCCTGTCTGTAGAGACTTCCAGGTCTTCTATGGTTGGGATTGAGATTAAAGGCATGTGTCTCCAATGCTGGCTGTATCCTTGAACACACAGAGATCTACCTAGCTCTGTCTACTAAGTGCTGGGATTAAAGGCGTGCACCACCACCGCCACGCTCTTGCTATGGCTCTAATAGCTCTGACCCCTGGGCAACTTTATTTATTAACATACAATTAAAATCACATTTCAGTACAAATAAAATACCACCATACCGGGTTTAAATCCCAGCACCACAAAAAGGTTCTGCCAATAGTGATGGGACAGTCATGCTAAAACCATTGTGACCAGATACATTTTAGGGCCCTAAAATTTATTTAGAGGATAAAGCCCTGTGGTGGGGCCCTTGCTTCAGATGCTCAGGCCCTAGGGTCATTTCAGCTCTGGGGAGGGGAGGAGGGGAGGAGGGGAGGAAACCATGATGGAAGTGCTCGGTTTAGGGCTGGGTAGGCAGAGAGGAGGCAGGGGAGGCTACAGAGGTACCCTGGAGCAGGGGAGGGGGGTTCAAGGCCCAGATTATCTCCTCTTAAGTCAGAGAGTCACACCATAGGGAACGATGGACCATTGCTGTTTTTAAAAGAAAGGCAAGATTTAACCATAATGATGGCGAAAACGTCACATATATTGGTTCGTGGGGCAGAGTCACAAGGGAAGACCATGGAGATGCAAAGTGGGGAGTCCCACAATGCACCACAGACACAGGAGAGCCCAGCTGCCTGCAGGCTTTGTCAGAGACCACGCACAGCTCAGTGTGTGGACAATACTGTCACCAGACAACACGGCCTGACTGTCCCACCGTAGGACCCCACGGCGGCAAGCTTTCTATGCCACCTCAGCACTGAGAGACAGAGCCCCGGCTGGATTCAGGAGCCCCCATTATCCACCAGAGAGTACCCTGACCTTCAGATCATCGAATTTCCACACGTATCAGCATTCGTATATTGACAAGCTTCCCTAACTTAACAACTGGATATTCCCTAAAAACTAACATTCCTTTTAAAACAAACAAACCATTTTTATCAATTCTTTCAGAATTTTATACAGTGTATTTTGATCATATTCGTCCTTCCCCCAACTACTCCCAGATCCACTTCCACAACTCCCTAACCACCCAACTTCATGTTCTTGCTCCCTATTTTTTTTTTTAATCCACCCAATTTATGCTGATAATATACTCTTGGGAGCGGGGCCTGTCCTGAGTAGCGGTTGACTTACCAGGGGCCACTCCTTGAGGAAAACAGACTTTCTCCAAGCAACTATCACCTGCCAATAGCTCCTCAGCAAGGGGTGGGGCTCACGTCCACCAGCCCTTTCCATGCTGGGACTCTGTCTGGCTTGGTTGCATAGGCCTTGTGTGCTGTCTCAGTCACCGAGAGTTCATATGAGCATCTGCCCTTTGTGTCTGGACGGCAGTCTTCTTGTATCCATCCACTGCCTCTGGTTCTTAGACCCCAGTATCCCTGAGCCTCGGGGGTGGGTACGAAGAACCTACTACTGATATTAGTATAAAACGACTCCCAGTGACTCTTCTACCCGCAGGTGACTGCATCTCTCAACCTTCATTAAAGATGCTGTTTCTTAGAGTAATGGCAAAGAACACGTAGATGCACAGCTGACCAGCTACAGCGACTGCGAGACTGTGGATGCTCGGTCCAAATGGACATCTCTATCATACCTCATTCTCTCTGATCTGAGATTACAAGTGCCTGGTTCTGTCCTGGGATCCTAAGGGCAAAACAGAATAGCACCCTAGCACATCAGCTTCCCAGGGGTTGGTTTTGTCAGCAAAGGAAGCCTCCTGCCAACAGGGTGGGTAAGTGTTTTTCTTCTCCCTGATGCTCATGATACAAGCTCATGGTTACTGCTAACCTCCCAGGACGTGGACGATGCTTACACACAACGATGGAGTATGCTCTAGTCTCTCTTCTAGGTTTCATAGCAATCCTTCACAGAAGTTACAGTATCTGCTTCATGGATGAGAAACCAGTGTGCAGACAGCTGGCACATGGCTCAGAGCTGCTCAGGTAAAGGTGGTATGTCTGGGATTGGAACAGATGGCTCTCACCATACCCCTGAGTTCTCTGTGCCTTCCTGCCCCTCATCCCCCTCACCTGGGGAGATGAACTAGGACTGATTCTGAATCGTGGGACCATTGGGGTAGGAACTGGTGAGGATTCTGACTCCTGCTGTCACTGCTCTCCCGGCTCTCCCTCACCCATTCACCCCTACTCCCTCACCCACTCACCCCTACTCTTGCTGAGTCTCTCTTCCCCAGGAAGCAAAGCTGCTCACATACCTGACTGAGACTCACACCTTACACTGATACCCTTCCACTGCCCCCTGTAAAGAAGCTCCTGCCAGACGCAGACAGGGGCTTGACGGGCACAGCCCCAGTGTGGAGGGTTTTTAAAGTGCCAGAACAAACTCTCAGGTGTGCAAAGCGTCCAAGGCCGGGATGGATGGACTTGTCTTTGATGAGGACTTTGCTTCTTTCCCCAGCTCCTTCCTTTAACTCAGTCTTGAGGCCACACTTCCTGCAGACAGACACCAGGTACTGGAGATCAAAGTCAGCCGCCACCTCAGAAAGCAATCCGGCCCACAGTGTGAGGAGGACTGAGAAAGCCGCAGTCAGAGTGCAGGGGGTCAAGGGCTATGGAAAGCACACAACAGCCAGTGAGGCTGGGGTGAGAGGGGCAGCCTGAAGAGACCAGGAAACGTTTTGTGTCAAGGAGCTTTAGTTCTTAAAATCCTGAGTGTCTTATCTACCTAATCACCTGGAATTCAAAAGAGCAACAATACCGTCCCAGAGTCTGTCGACTTCTGATCCTTCAATTTACAGCCTTTGTGGCCTGATATCACCTCCACAGAGGGTGATCATCAAGGCACTCAGAGCTCTTCACAAACCACCACTGTGGGAGCAGCAGTGAGAACGCCAAGCTGTTGGCTGAAGAGAGACTCATGGGGGTGGGGCAGGAAAAGGGGCGAGACACGTAGGTAGCATTTCAGCCTCAACCACAGCATCTGCTTCTCTCCGAGCCGAGAGGGACCATCTGATACACGGCTCAGTCATTTCACCAAGATTTTAAACAGGCCAATGATCTGACCTTGCAGCATGCCATTCTCCTGCTCTAAGAGTCACATGACTCAGTTGGTCAGTGAGCATCAAATGAAGCGGGCCTGGGAGGCACCGGCACACAGCGGCATCAGTAACACCACACCTCTCCCTTTCACAGAGCACAGTGCAGAACAGGGGTCACATTCGTGGTTGACTTATGCTGTCTATGGCTGTGGAACACATTCCAGATCCTCAGACTCATCTCACAGTTCCGGATATTTATCAGTTATAAAGGAAAGCAAGTGAGGGAATTTATGTGGACTATGTGTGGAGACAGATGCCTGAGATAGTTAACCTTCACTGGAGAAAGCAGGATGGGCCCTGGTGTTAACGTCTGTCTGCTATCTCACCGCTACTTAATGGGACAGTAACCTCACATTCCTGCCCCGTGCCTTCCCACCATGATAGACTATGCCCCTTCTAACTGTGAGCCAAATAAAACCCTCCTTAAACTGCTTTTTAATCAGGTATTTTGTGATAAGAATGAATAACTACTACAGATTCAGGCACATATGTAACATATGTATAACCATCCAGTCTGTTGGCATGCTCAGCTTCCTGCTGAGGGTGGGCAAAGAGATCTGTCCACTACTGGCCAACCCCTGATGCACTCAAGGCAAAAGCTGTCTTCACACAGGAGTGGCTTCCCAGATGATGCCCACTAAGGCTCTCCTGCCTTCCCTTAAGATTCTATGACCCTCTCTGCCTTCCTTGGTCATGTCCCCACCTCACATGGCCTGAGTAGGCTGCATCTATAACAGACATTCTTTGAGAAAGCAAAGCCAAGCTAGAGGAAGACACACAGAGGAGACCACAGAGGCAGAACAAGCAGGCCCAGGAGGACTTACCTGCAGAGCCTGCCGCACGATGCTGGAGGTGTGCGTCAGCATGCCCAGCAGGATATCAAGCAGCGACGTCAGCAGCATGGCCGCCGGCTCTGTGCTGTTCTTATTGTCACTGTCCAAGCACAGTGTGGCAGTTTCTGTGAACATGTTACAGACGTGACCAACAAGTCCTGACGGTAGAAAAAAAGGAAAAGTTCTGTCGTAAGATGATAAAAATAACACGCCATGTGACCCGGCAGAGGCACTGTGGCTCAATGTGGTATGGACTGGGCACTAACACTGTTTACTTGGGAAAGCTGCTTAAAATGAAGGTTTCTAAGCCTCAAATCCCCAGTGTCTGCTCAGGAGTCTAGAATGGGCCAAGGGATCTTTTCTTTTTTTAAGTTCGTTGAGAATTTCATGTAACATGTTTCGGTCACCCCTTCTCCCAGCTCCTCTCTGATCCACTCCCCTTTCCTACTCACCCAACTTTGTGTCCTTTTGTTTTAACTGATCAAGTCCAATCTATGCTGCTGCCCATATATCCCTGGACACGTGGCCTTCCCCTGGAATGTGGTCAACTTAGCAGGAACAACCTTCTTGAAACTCACTCCCCTAAGAGCCATCAGTTGCCAATAGCCCCCTAGCTGGGGAGGGGGAGGGCAGGCGATGGGACAGAATGGGGACCTTGTGCCCATCTCCCCTCTCCATGCAGAGATGCGGTCTGGCTTGAGCTAGCTGTGCACGATGTCATCGGAGAAGCTTCCTCCTGCAGTGGATGCCGGGTCACACAGAGACCCACAAATGGTCCAAGTGCAGAGGATAAGAGCCTGTGGACTGCTCAGCCCGGAGTGGGACATCTGTACCTCACCCCTCCTCCTAAGGCTCAGGGGTCATTGTGGAAGGGGTTGGGTAGAAAGGCTGCAAGAGCCTGAGGTAGTGGCTGAGTACAAGGCCAGAGTGTCCTCAGGACGGAGTAGGGCAGCTGCACACATGAACTCACACCAAGGGGCAGAGAGCCCCAAACCATACTCAGAAACACATCCACACCAGCAGGCTTGACCAAAACAGAACATGTTACACACAAGCACCAGAAGTCAGAGTCTCCAGGCCAACCAGTCAGGGACCGGGGTAGACCCAGTAGTCTCAAGAGGACATGGACAATTGGCTGATTTCCAGGAGAAAATACAAGCATTTTTTTCTCATACATTTAAACAATGCGATTAATTACAGTTTAGAGAAACATCTCATTCATGAACTGGTGGGTTTGTACCACTGTGATCTCTGAGCCTCACATTACCAACCCTCAGCGTGGTGCAGTGATGCTGTGAACATTTATGTTGTTACTGTTACTGTATTTAGCATTATCCTCTAGTTTACAGGACTGAGTCCAAAGTAACAAGAGGAAATGATGTTGCAAACATAAAGGACAAACAGGGCTGTGGAAAACAATGCAAAGCAGACCCACGTGTTCTCCATGGCGAAAATCTCACACATGTGGGAGCATCAGGTAAAGAGCTAGGACGTGCCTTTAGCACCAGTTCCACTGGACCGACAGTGCACTTGGCCTGAGCCCCAGACCACCAGCCGGATGGGACCTGGTCAAGTTCAGCCCTTGAAGGTTCCAGTCTTCCACAGAGTGTGAAGTGTGGCTTCCAGCAAACACATCAAATTTTCCCAACAAATGAAAAAGTAACATTTTATCACTAAAAGTGATAAAAATTTGGGTAAATTATATCTAAACCATACTGGTTTCAGAGTTGTAGCTTTGTGGTAAAACCAGGTACAAATGGCACAACTGCCAAGAAGCTTCACCACACACACACACACACACACACACACACACACACACACACACACACACCCTGTAAAGGCACGTGGAAAGCATTCTAGCACTCCCCAGCCATTAGGTTATTATTTTCTATTTTCATTTTTAAATTTTTATGTGTGGGGTATTTTGCCTTTATGTGTGTATGCACATCATGTGCTTGCAGTGCCCACTGGGGCCAGAAGAGGGCATCATATCCCATGGAACTGCAGTGGTTGTGAGCCACCTGCCAGGTCCTCTGCAAGAGCAGCCAGTGCTCTTAACCACTGAGCCATGTCTCCAGCCCCAATCGTAACAGTTTACCGCTCTAACCCAACATCTCTAAAGGAAACCAAACTTCATTAAGTCAGAGAACCCTGGAATTATTCTGCATTCATTATAACCAACTCATCAAAAAACTCTGAGAATGATTTTGTATTAATTATGAGCAAACCCTCAAGGAGCCCCCCTCACAGCCCATTTCCATGCATTCAGTGTTCTGGGAATACTAATGTGCACGAGCTGCCCCAGCTCCGGTCACAGCGTCCTTATTATATCGTGACTTTGTTGTGATCTACTGGAGTGGAAAGCAGATTCTGGAGCACTGTGGGGACATCTAAGCCTGTGGAAGACACTTCGCCTTTAAGGTCAGAACAGCTCTAAAGTCTAATGTGACCCTGCCTAAACACAGGCTTCCTTCTGGGAGACGTCACATTTGCATCTTGCAAACCTGTGGTCACCTCTCCTGGGGTTCATTAACACCGGCCTCTGTAGGAAGAGGCGGTCAGGAGTGTGGAAGTCATTCTTCCCACAGTCAATCAAAGCTTTACCACTGAAGCTAGTCCATCGGCTAAGGCAACTCCACCCCCTTTCCTCTTCCCTCCTTCCTTCCGTCCATCCTCCCTCCCCATTCCTTCTTTTCTCTTTTTCTTCCTTTTTTCCCCTCCCTCTTTCCTCTCCCTCCTCGATTCCCTCTGCCCCGTCCTTCTATGTGGTTTTGGTTTTTGTTCTTTTTGGAGAAAAAAATCTTGTTACATAACCCTGAGTAGCATGGAACTCACCAAATGGACACTGGTGGCCTCAAACTGTGGCTGTGATTCTCCTGCCTCTGCCTCCCAAGAGCTAGGATTCCGGCATGTACCACCACACCCAGCCTAAAACTGCTTCAACAGAATGTGCAGGGTGAACTCAGAGGAGCCTGTCTTGGACCCTGTGGCCGGGTATGAATGGAAACACTGGTGAAATGTGGGTTTCTAAGTCACAGAGCATTCTACTGCTCAGCCTCCCTTCCCTGAGGATAGCAAGTACCAGCCACAGCAGCCATGGTGCCACGTAAACACAAGTCCACATTTCACTGAGGTTAAAAGCTTCGGAGCCATCTTGGTCTATCTTCATTCCACACATGTCCTGACCAGAGATGCCCTCATCCTAATCTCTGAAACCTGTGAACTGACTTCATATGGCAACAGGATTCTGCAAACATGATTGAATGAAAGAACAAAGCTTGAGGCAGTAACCTGGATGACCCAGGTGGACTCAGTGAGTCCTAAGGTCTCCTGAGACACTGAAGTCATGGGGACTGTGACCTCAGAAGCAAAATGCTGGAATTTGGCAAGAAGGGATCATGGTTAAGAGGGACAGGACTGTCAGAAGCTTTCCAGCTTTCTTTCTCGAGGCATAAAACTAAGTCTCTGGAAGGAATCAAGCCTGCCCAACACTTTGGACTTCTGACCCCCTGCAGCACACAAGAACAATCACCTGTGTTGTTTTGGACACTCCATTTATCATCACAGTTGCTACAACAACTGCAAACAAATATGAGGTGGTGTGTACGGAGAGCCTTTCCAGACTCAAGTGCACAAGGCTTGTCCTGCATGCAGCGGTGTTCAGAGCTGGGCCCTGAGAGCTGACTGAGTCCTGAGGGCTGTGACTATACCAGCCAATCACAGGTGGATTCATAGCTAAATGGCTGCACCTTCTAAAGGTCCGACAGCTTCTCTATAGTGCCAGGGCTGGGGCAAAGCCTTCAACACGAGGGTGGGAGGGGCAACCCAGACCCAAACAACAGCACTATGTACTTAGAAGAGGGAAGCAGCGCCTTCTGAATGGTTATCTAGGAACCTGGCAGTACGCTACACAAAATATCATTTTCACACAAGCTCAATAACAATGTACATTAAACTCTGATTGTTGTTTATAAACCAATGTCTGCCCACACCTAAAGTCAGTCATCGTGATATCCCAGCTCGAGGGAACTGAATCACCCAGTGCCTCTAGGATTCTCACAATGTGCCCATTGCTACTCCCACAGCTCAGCCACAGCTGACATCCCCAGAGAGGGCCATGTGCCCCGGCCCGGGGCAGCTGCTTTCCTGTAACCAACACAACTGGGATTGCATAAAGAGGGACACATGGGTATCCCATAAGTCCAAAGTCTGAACACATACGTAGTGTTTAAAGTCTAATCAGGAAAGTGTGGGGAGGGCCTTCACGTGGGCTGTCAAGTCTCTTCGGTCACTCTGCTTTAGGCTAACTTTTAAAATAAACTTGGGCCCAGCAGTTCAAAGCACACGTGGCTCTTCTAGAAGACCCAAATTCCGCTCTCAGCACCCACATGGTGCCTCGTAACCACATGTCACTCTAGCTCCAGGCCCTCTTCTGGCCTCCAAGTGAACTGCACCTCCCCCCAGATATGTTAATTAAAAAAACAAACTTTAAAAACAAGCCTGCTTTGTTGAAGTTGTGTATCTTCACCCCTGTAGACAGCAGCCTGTAATCCCACAGCAATTGTCACTTCAATGACATCGTCAGCAACAGTTAATTAACAGGTGCCACTCCAGCTGCTGCAGCTGCTGCAGAGCAATGTCAGACCCTCGAAGTGAGACACCCAGCGGGGAGTGCACACAGCATCTCCAAGGACTTTTGTGTGGTGGGGTTGTTGCTGTTTTGTGGAGAAAATAAATATTATTTAGGAAAAAACTGACAGCCTTAACTTGTCAAATTTCTGGAGACTTTGAAGCTACAATGAAAATCAACTCAGGTCCTGAGGGGACCACAGCGTGTTCACTTACATCTAAATGGAGCCCATGAAGACACAGCAGTGAGCACGGGGCTCGGAAATGAGGACACACTGCTGAAAACAGACGAGCCGGCATGGTGCTCGCTCTCCTCCACGCCCTGGGCCTCTGATGGCTCCTGATACCTCTAGAACCTACCTCTCCACTGCCTGCAGGACACCAGGCTCTGGAATACCCTCCCCCACTCCTCAATGTCTTGGACCCCCATCCCCCACCTCAACATAGAAGCAAGCTGCTCACTTGCCTGAGAAATATCTGTCTTCCTTCTGCATGGGCACCCACTGCTTGTGCAGCCCTGGCTCCTAGC